CTGTTGTCCTTGTCCTTGGTCTTGCTCCTGCTCCCCTGAGGTTGTGTCAATCTGCATTGGTGGCTCTTGGTCATGAGGTTCAGGAGGTTGCCATGTAGTCTCAACTGAAGGCGTTGCATTCGCAAAAGACGTACCCCAGAGGAAGATGAAATTGCAGGAGCCAGGTCAAGGAAGCGCACAGGGCCACGAACCGGTTGCAAAGCCTGTCAGATCTGCTCTTGTACTGGGCGATCCAGGGCAGTCTCAGGAAAGTGTTGCAACCTGGCCAAGCGCTCACGAGGAAGTTCCGCTCGGACATGTTCAGGAGCAGAGCGGACCCATGGGCGGCCCAATAGACACTGGGACGACAAGTGCCAGAATCGGTCACGCGGCGCTCGATTATGCACAGGATGGCAGGGCCAGCGTGAAGGTTCGAACTTTTGATCGCCTTGCCTCCAGTAGAAAATCCACGTGGCCGGGCAAGAAGTGAACGACGAAGGAGTGGATGATGGTTGGCAGCATGAAATGCCTTGGCTGCTGCAACATGGAGGGCCCGAAAGCCACATTCTCTTGAACAGCCACAGGTAGCTTGGGTCGAAGATCCGCAGGCTCGTCCAAAAGGCCTTCCACTGCATTGGGAGCTCGTCCAAAAACCATCTCTGCTGGTGAGGAGCCATGCACATTGCAAAGACGATTCCTTTGCTCACATGCGACTCGAATTGCGGTCTCCAAAGGGATGTCGGGCACCTCCTTCTTCATCTTCAACAACTGAAGTCTCCGGACGGCATGTAGGCGCTCGATGGTGCCAAGCCGGTAGTGTGCCTCCTTGGGAACAAGCACCAGCTTGATCTTGTATCGTCCATGGCATCCACGTTTTGGCTCATGTAAGAACCTGACGCGTTTGTCTTCAATCGAATTGGAAAGCCAAAAGGCTGGAACCACAGGTTCTCCAAGATCTTGAGCCAACCTCTGTCTCACGAGGCAGCAAGGCGTTCACTTCATACTTGGAAAACAGCTCAATGGTGGCGAGGATCTTGACTTTTTCTTCACCCCACTTCATGTGAAAGGTGTCTATCTCGATCACTTCATTGAAATAGCTGGCCTCATCCAACAAAGAAGCCGGATGAGCTATCTTCTTCATAGCATCGCTTCGACAGATCTCACAAACATACTTGCGAGCACACTGAATCACTTCTTCAGGAAACTTGGGCATCTTTGAGGGCTCGAATCAGCTTTTCACGTCCTGGATGTCCAAGCTGACGATGAAGTTTGTTGACGATTTGGAAAGCCTTTCTGCCATGAGTCAATGAGTATTCATCAAATTCTTTTCTTCTGTCTGCACCGTTTTCTCTGCCTCTTTTTCCTTGATCACCTCCATCTCGTCCAACTCGTCGGCCACGAAGATCTTGAGCATCTCTTGATCATGCCACCCTTCCGCATATCTTCATAGATGGCTTCTGAGGCTCTGAGCAAGAAGTCTTTCTCATAGTTTTGCATCTTCTTGAGCTCTTTTGATCTTCCTTCCCTTCTCACATGCTCTCCTGGAGCGCACTTGCACGGAGATTCAAGGCCTCGTACACCATTGGACTCCTTGTCCTGATCCTAGTTGGTTTCTTGACTTTCCCAACCAGGCCATTGCTCAACTTCACGGTCAAACCAGTTTGGCATCGATCGCACTTGGCATCCATGAGGTTGGTCATGTCCATTTCTTCCATAGTCTTTGTTTTCCAAGACTCAGCTCCTCTTGGATGCTCCATACTAACTCCCAAGCCAGCTTCATCGCGCGCGTAGAAGACATTTGCCACGAACTTGAGGTGTGCTTTCTCTTCGGCACATCGTTCCTTTCGTAGTGGTTCTTGAGCCTCAGGAGTCAATGCATTGAGGTTCTGCATAGTGGACCATTTCGTGCACGGTGGAGCCAACCACACATGTCCAGGTCGAATCCTCCGCAGCAACTTGATGAATGCTTCTTGAGCCTCCACCGTTAAAGTGGCCGCCTCCACATCTTTATGATTCTGAATCAACGTTTTTGCAAACTTTCCTTCATCCACGTAGACCTCAAAGAAAGTCATCTTTGGCTTCGTGTTGATGGCGGCCAGAGCTCTTCATCTTCAAATCCCAACTTCACCCATTCCTTGGTATCTCGTGCATTGATCTCCATGCTGGGTTCGATCTCCCAACACGTCTTCTCTTCTCTCACGATCACTTGGATCTCCTCTGGGATTGCCAAAGCATCTTCAAGCAAATGAGTTTCTTCCATGTGGTTGTTCTCGAACAGGTTCACGATGTAGTGTCCCATTCGTCCTCTCTGAGGCTTGAACCATTCGAACTTCATAATTCTCAGCATGCCCTTCTCATAATCCTGCCGGACTTTCCGCTCTTCTAGCGTAGGTCAAGCAAGAAGAAAAGGCGTTTTGCCAGGCACCACTGAGGCGGTCACAGCCAACTCTTGACCTTGAAGCACGACAGGGAAGGTGATATCATAGCTTGATCTCAAAATCTCTCCACCTCCAAACTTGAAGTCGCGTGTTGCTTCAGAGATCTTCACCTCCAGGTCACCCGCAAAGGACAAGGACCACACCTGCAAAGGACAACCACTCTTTCCACACGTCTTTACCAACTATAGTTCGAGTGGCACCGGAGTCGACAATAGCCCGCCTGGGTTGCAAAGCAGCAAAATCAACTGTAGCACTCTCCTCCACCATTGACACTTGTTCTTCAGCCACTTCTTTCACTCCATTTGCCTGAACGCGAAAGCGCTTGAAGCGAGGTCCATGAGCATTTGTAGAACCCGACGGTGTCGACTTGATGTCATTGATGTTTGAGCTTGTACTCGAACTTGTTGGCCGTCTCAACCCAGACATAGGTCTTCGGTTGTCGAAAGTCCTGCAGAAGCCACTCTTGCCTTTTCTTTTTTTTCCTTTTGAGCTCTTGCCCTTTGATTTTCCTCCTCCTTTGCCTTCGACTTCAGGTCCGAGGGCAACCACGGGGAAGAATCCAACAAGGCAAGCTCCCTCATTCGTCTTCTGTTGTCCAGGCAGGAGATGAAAGCTTCATCGATGGCGTCAGCAGCTTCATCCATTTCTTCGGACCATTCTTCGTCTTGTTCATAGTGTATCTCATCTTCCCACCATTCTCCTTCGTCGTCCTCATAGTAGCCTTCTTCGTCCTCGATGTCATAGTCGTCCTCGAACATGACTTCTGCATTCATTCCTCCACTAATCTTCATGAGATCTTTTGGGTTCGGCTTGTTGTCTCCACCGAACATTTTCATCAAGGCCGTGTGCACCTTCTCATACTCCAACTGGCCTTGGCATAAGGCCTTCACCACGTGAGTCCTGGAACACCTGCAGTGAGAAGGTGCCAGCCGGAGAGGAGCGATGGCACCGTGTCTCACCAAATAGGAGGTCATGTCATGTCCTCATTCTTCAGGCGAACTCTTTGCGCCGGGACCTGACGAAGGTGAATGGTCGAGTGCTTCGTTCCGCCTCAAACGAAATCTGTTCTGTCGAATCCCAGGCTAGGTCTTGCAGTCTGGAGATGAGTAGAAGTGCACCTTCAATGGCTGCATCCACGCTCCTCCTGTGACATTGTCTTTCGAACAGTTCAACTCGTCTTCGAAAACTCCTGTAGTTCTTCTGATTGAGCTTGCATGCCTTTGACAGTCCTGAATCCAAACCTTTGTAGCTGTTGCCACCTTGTCTGCCAGGTGACTCTCCATTCGCTCGAGGAACAGGAAATCGTGCTCGATCTGGAAAATCATCATCTCTCGGTGTTCGGACTCGTCTCTGCGTTCTTCTTGGCGGCGATGTTCGTTCTGTAGTCCCTCCTGAACCACGGTCCATAATTGTCTTGCCGTACTCGAAGGGTGTGATGTTCACCTCTATGTCCTTTCACAAGATCACCGAGAGAACTTCAACCAAATAGATCACCGTCCAACTACTCAGAGTGGATCGTCTCCAGGTCCGCTACCAATCTCGTAGTAGGGGATGACAAGCCCTCGAAGTCTCGATCCCTTCGGTGACAAAGTAAACACGTTTTCACGCACGTCGTAGCGGTATGGTGGCTACAAGGGCCCTCGTGAACCCAAAAACAATTGAACAATCATGAGTATTCACAATGTGCATTCGTGACATTGACAGGACCTATATACTTGGTGAAAGACTACTGGGACACCTCAACTACACTTTAGTTTGCACACTTTTGCAACGCCGGCAGTTGGCGGATACCAATCGAAAGGGGAACGCAACGAGAAGGAGGAAAAAGAGAAACGGAGGAGAAGGAGGCAAGCGAAGGAGAGAAAGAGAACGTGGGAGGGCAGGGATAGAGGAACGAGCGACAGAAAGTGAAATTGGCACGGGCTAAAATCAAGTGGAGGAACTGGCGGAAATTGTTTCCACAGTTGCACAATTGTTGTCGTCGGTCCTGTTCCATCCACACCAGAAACAAGTGAGCAGGCGGGGTTAGCGGAGCTGCGGGAGATGAGCCCAGCAGAGGTGCAGATTGAGTGAGCTTCTTGGATTTTGAACGGTTGCAAGCGGCTTGGAGGCTTTCCGGCCTTTGCTGCGCTGTTGTGGGGAGAAGGGTGAAAAGGAGACTGAACTGTGAGACTTGAGGGAATGAATGAAAGATAGTGACATAATTACTACTAGGAGCAAGGACGCTACTAGGGGCTCCTGGCCTTACTACTAGTAACAAGAAGCTACTAGGGGCTCCTGGCCGTATTACAGGAGCAACGACGCTACTAGGGCCTCCTGGCATAATGCAGACTTTTCCAACACAGAATTTGTCAAGCTGTGTCAGTACATCGAGGGAGGATTGAACATGGACTATGCTCAGTGGGGCAGCAACTGCTGGTAAGTCAACTTCCGCATGGTGAGCAGGTTCTGCGCTCAATGCGGACGCTGCAACTGCTACGCGTTTGATCACTTTTGAGTGTAGAGGAGCTTGAGCGTGCAGAGAGAGTCTGCTGCGAAGCAGGGAACTTTGCCATTCCTCCGCAATCTCGGGCGAAGCATTTGATGATTCTCCTGGAAGGCGCACTGGGCCCAATTACTATTTTTTCCTGCTTGTCACTTGAGTACTTCTGTGGAGTTTGCTTCACTACTTCTGTTGCAGGTGATTTGGCAGTAGAGATACCTGGCGACAGTTCTTCAGCAAGAGTTTCGCCTGGAGATGCCATAGGCGAAACTACTGTCATCCAACTACTACTTCTTGAGTAATCCAACTTCCACCACCAGGTGAATTGTCTATCCTGACAGACAAACCATCGCCACGTTCTCAGATTATCCTTAAAGTTGCCGTGAGCGGGAAGAACAAAATATGATTCATGATTTCATCATAGATAGCGAGCATCTTCCAGCATATAGACTCTGGTTTCAAGGCTTGTGCACTATCGTTGCATCTCCCGCTGTACTTTTGCTGCGCTCTCCCGAGAGGCTCGAACTGAAGTGAAGGAAGCACAGATTGAAAAAGAATCCAACATCACAAGCAGTATCTGTGTGGAATGGGTATTTAGTCTTGAGCAACCTGTGATCACAACGACTTGCCACAGGTTTGCACGCGGCTCTTGGAAGATTGTCCGCGAGACTTTACTCTCACGCTGTTGCATTTGATTGTAGGCCCATTGGGAACACAAATGGGCAAGGGTGTTCGCCTAGTTTGCTGCAAACGTAGCTGTAGCAATTGAAAGGGCCCAGCCTAACACCAATCATCGTCGAGATATACTTTGTTGACTTGATGGATTTGGGCAATTAAAAGTAGCTTGTCAAGCAAACTTTTTTGGGTCATCCGAAAGGTGCTCCAGCATTGTTGGACTGTGTTGACAATCGCAGGATGCTTGAATCGAAGGTAATCTCAATCTCCATATTTTGGTTGAAAGCTGTCCCAGCAAAATATTTTCATGACGCTCAGGCCGCACAGCAACCTGGTTGCATCGTGTGGATGCCTGCTTGGACTGGCTGACTGTTGAGGGCAGCAGTTGCCTCTATCGTCAGGGTGATGAGATGTCAGGCTTTTTCATGGTATTGCTCCTTGACTGAAAGTTGGTACCTTTGTTGGTGTTGACCGTTCACTAGTGCAGGGTTGGCTAATGCAGGTAATGTCAACTTGTACAATATGCACTATTGGCATTGTGTCGGTTAGCCAGACTTTAAATGCATGCTAGATGCTGGCTCCATAGTTTTAGAGTGAAGAGTATGAGGTCTGGCCGCCTCGTTGCGCTGGAAAAGGTGGCGGAGGTCAAAAGCAAACGTGTTCCAGGACCTTTGCGCGAGACCAGTACTTTGGCGTAGTAGCTTCGTGACTTTTGCGCAAGTAAGTAGCCGAGCAGGGAAGAAGAAGCGTTGCAATCTGTTTTTTTGATTTTGTCTGCTGGTCATCGCACAGCCTCAAGCTGCCTAAGGTCAAACAGAGCGGGTCACTGACCTGCTGCAACGTGGTCGCCTTTGTGGAGAACTGGAGATTCGCCAGCAATGCAATGCGGTTTATCATGAGGTTTGTCACTGCCTTGTGGATGAGCATTGTCAAGTGCCATTTTCAGTGTCACGTTTTTTGATCCAAGCCAACAGTCGCCTTTTCTTGATGGACTGATCACGTACCCACAAATATAGAGAACGATGCCTGGACCCCAGTAACTGTGTACCTGCCCAACGCGTTAGTCAGCGTTTGAAGTCCACTATGTTTCAGCCAAAGCATTGTGTTTGGGAGCATTGTTTTGCCCATCCCCCAGATGTCGTGGTCTTGGAAAACAATAGACACATGTTTCCCTTCATATCTCAATTGTCCTTCCTCATAGCGGCCACGAGATGATTGTGTTTGTTGTCTCCATTCATGCCTCCCATTCTCGCAGAATCACGTGCCTTGGATGGACATTCCAAGCTTGTCATGAATACTTGTCAGGGCTGAGCTTTCCGTGAATGTGACGCCTCACAAGGACTGCTTACGCAAAAGCTGCTACTCGCAAACTGTGCGTGCCTGCCGGGATTCTGAGCTTTGCCGAGTCTCGCCCACGCTGCTGCAGCTGATTGCAATGGATTTCCCACAGGCCAAGATCTTGAAATGATTCTTTTGCAAAGGGAACATCTCCATTCAACTGGTTGCTCTCGTTTAGCCCGACTTGTACAGTGAAGCTGGAAACAGGTTGCTTCTCAACAGGCAGGACTTGAGAGCAACTCCGTGCAGGCAATCCTTCACTTTAGCTCTTACATTGGCAGCCGTCCATCCCAGTCAGAGGAGGGTTCGGAAATTGGGAGAAGGATGTTTGGTTATGTGATTCGAAGACACCGCGATGATTGTGAGGTACACCCAGTAAAGTGTTTGCACTTGACAAAGCTTCTGTGTTTGTGAGGACGTGTCAAGTGCCAAGCACAAGACCACCATCACAGTTGTTCCTGCCACCGCAGATGTGGACATCCATGAAGTTTGCTCCAATCTCACTTCAGCTACTTTGTGTCAAGTTTTGGGTGCCCAATCTGGTTGGGTAAGGCAAAGAGGTTTTAACGACACAACCGTTGCCTTGGTGAGAGCAAGAAGACAAACACTGCTTAGCGTGGCAGAACTGTTGCCAGAAAGAAGGAAGGAAGGGAAGGGAAGGGTCGGGTCCAGCAGAGGAAATCACATAGTACCAAGAGGGAGGAAGGGAGGAGCTGTCGAGTGCCCACACCACGCTGATGCCATTTGACTTCCTGAGGCCCTTAGCAAGCTGGGCAAGACAATGCACATCTCTCCCTCCACGGACCTCTTCTTTTCGCCTGGCCTCAAGGCCTCTCAGAAATGAGACGGTCCAACAGGTCCAATTAGTTTTTGACGTCAAACCGTTGAGACCCGAGGAATTCTATATGCTTCTATCTTTCTTGAGCGTGTCCAGATGCTCCAGCAGAGTGTTGTTGTTTGGCAGCCTTGGGTCTTTTGGAGCAGTGTGCCCAAAAAGTGAACAGAAGCTGAACTTGGGTTTGCTGCGGTTTGCTTTTGTTTCAAGGTGGAAAGCCGGCCCTAGAGTCTTCGATGGGTGACACCTTTAAGATCATTAAGCCCACATGCAAGATTCACATGAAGCAAACATCCCCTGTACGGTCACCCTGCGGGTTGCCACTTCAGCGGTTTCCCAGTCTATGTTGCAACAAGATAAGCAGTTGCAGCTGCAGAAAAAGCGTGAAAAAGGGATGCGCAACGAGAGTCAGACCATATGCAAGCTGTGCTCACGGCAGGGTTCAGCTCGCAGCTTGGACGAGGGGCGCTTGGGACGGCTCTTGGCAGATATGGAGGCCAGGGTTGGTTTCATGATCAAGTGCAGTACATGAAATTGATCCTTTGTGATAGTGATTTCATATGGAAACCTGAAATGGAAGGACATCTTTAGCACTAGCAATCTAGAAGTCCAGGTCATTGACCTGTAGATGTTTGTATTCAGGAGAGGAGCCGCTGGCTGGTCTACGAGGCAGAGCCCTGTGGCGCCTCCATCACCGACCCCTGGGCCTAAAGGAATCCGATTTGGTCACTGCCAGTCTTTCAAGCACAAAGGAATTGATAGTCAGGATGGACTCGGAAGGACCTTTCAAAGCTTTTCATGACCGCCACTGGATCTCAGTGACCAAGGACTGGACCAAGAGGTGCGTCCGTCAAGCAGATCACATTCTGGTTGCTGCCAATTTTAATGGGCAGGGCCGAGGTGACGTACCACAGAGCCTTCCACTCAACACTCGGGAGTCGAAGTTTTGTTTGTCATATGTGCCCAAAACTAAAGGTGTTTCTACCACAGGGGGTGAGATCTTCCAAATGTTGAAGCAAATGGAGAATCGGTGCGCACAGTCGTTTCCTCCAGTGTTTCTTCTCTGGGAGACTGTCAGCGTTTCCGGGCCGTGTCAGTCGCTGTGCTGGAGCGTCGTGGAGCGTCCGAGGACTCCGAACGAACGGTATGTGCAAGACGCCGCCCCGCTTCTCGCCCTGAAGATCGCGGGATCATTTGATCGAGCGTCATGGAAGCGGGATCGAAGCATTTCGGCAAGTCAAACCAACTTGTCAAAGATCCAAGGGATTTTGATGAGATTTGGGGGTTGAAAAGTTAAAGAAAGGAATTGTTGCTGATCATTCATGTTGTTCATGGCCCAGTTCAAACAGAGTGAGTTGCAGATTGCCTGAGGCTCTATGTGAGCAGGGAATTGTTGCTGCTTCACAAAGGTGCTGGAGGCACAACAGAACTGACCAAGCCACTGGCCCCAGCTGATGGTAGGTTGAAGTACAGGTTGGCGTGAATCGATTCGACCTCTATTGCAAGTACTCGAAGATGGTTTTCTGCTGAATATGCTTTGGCTTGGTACAGGTCCATGTTTTTGGTCCCTCCCTCTTAAGGCTAATAGATGCTGATACTGTTGTAAATATTCTTAATGAATTCAAGGCCACTAGATCACTAGACAAAGTGATAGGCTTAGAGCTTTGTTGGATGCTCCTCTAATCCTCTCACAACATCCAAATGGCCGAGCCATTTCAAGTAGTTCAAGTATCCTTGCCATCTAGAACATGGATGACCTTGGCACAGGAAAAACATCTCAGCTGGCCTCAATGGATGATTGGTGGCTCGGAGCCCGTTAGAGACAGATGTTTTGAGAATTGTGCGGGCACAGGAGTTTTTGCTGGATAAACTATTAATGTTCACACCGCTTCGCGGTCGAAGCCGCCCGCACAGAGCAAAGGTAAAATGTGTGAGATGGGTCCGCAGCAACCCGTGCTCGCGGAGCCGGGAAATGGTAACCTGTGCTCTTGGAGCCGGGAGGAACTTTTGACCGGGCTTCGAGCGTGAAGAAGCAGTCAGAAGGCACAGTCATTCACACAGGGTTTATCATTCAGGCCGTAAAGGACAATATCCAGGAGTGGAAAAAGCGAGGGGCCACCAGATGGACGTTGGCGGGTGGAGCGCACGCAGTTTGCCAGGGGCTTAGCTGAGGAGGCGCGGACATGTTCGCGCGGTAAAAGGTGGACGTCCGTACGGGCGACGTCCTCAGCTGGGAATCTCCTTCTTTTTTTGGTCGGCGAAGGGTCGACACCTGTGCTCTGGGAGCCGACTGTAGTCACAACACTTGTACTGCTTCTTTCTGTCTTTGTCGCAACTTCTGTGGTTGCCCCGTGCTAGGTACGCCTTTTTTG